CATACACCGGGTTCGGCCGCTCACCGGATGCATCGTGCAGGCATGCTTTGTCGTTTGGCACCGCCAAGCCGTGAGGCCACGATGGCCGTACTAAGCGCCTCGTCGAATGTGGGGAAACCAGCAAATCCGATCGCTGCACCAACGACGCAGGTTCGGCAGCAGACGTTGTCTTCTGCAGTTAGCTGCGAGCCATTCATTAATGCCACCTCATACATCGAGCAGATGTACGAGACCTGGAAGGTGACCCCAAGTCAGTCCATGCATCTGGGACGCGTCCTTCAGAAATGTTGAAGGCGGTGCTGCTCCCGGTCAGGCCGTATCAAGCACCACCAACAGTTTATGGAGCTGTCGGCGTTTCGGGAGTCACACCACTCATACCAGGAGTGCCAGTTGGCGGAGGATTTACTATGCCTCAAGTTATTTTCGCTTTCGATCGCGCCTACTACAGGACTCGATACTTCAGTGCAGGCCATCTCTGACCATCATCTGACTTCATAAGAAGTTACCAAACTCGTGGCCATAATATGGAAGATTCGGATACACTAGGAACAAATAGCGCCGATCTCGATGACGCCATCCCACCGGAGCTTGAACTCTCCTTCTATGGGTTCAGAGAACGTGATCTGGACAGAGAGTTTCTGCTGACTCCAACTACCTTCATCGCAGGTGACAAACAAGTTCCCACTTTGCGCGAAATTGTCGATAGGCTGAAGAGAATCTACTGTAAAACTAGTGGTATCGAGCACAGGCACTTGAACAATCTCGAGCAACAGGATTGGATTCGTCAGCATTTTGAGGCACCTCGTGTGACGGAACTTTAGGTTGTCCGGAAAGTTCTCAGCGTTTTGAGTGTTTCACTTTAAACGATCATAACTTTTTAATACTCATCGGATTTAATCGAAATAAGCACCGTTCGAATCAGCACACTTTTGCCAATGTGACACCAGTCGATCCCATCAAAGAAAACTGGGTGGTCGAGAATCCACGAAATCCACGAAGGCTTTTTTTGCCTGGTCCTGATTGATGAAGTATTTTCCAGCAAGGAAGTTCTGAAAATGTTTGAAAAGGTGATAGTCGGTTGGTGAAAGGTCTGGAGAATATGGCGGGTGAGGTAGAACTTCAACCCCAATTCGTTCAATTTATGGATAGTGATTTGTGAAACGTGTGGGCGGGCGTTGTCATGCAAAAGAATCGGACCCTTCCTGACTTTCTGTTGACAAGTGCTGGCTGCAGCTGACGCAATTTTCGGTACAGTTCGTCGATTTCTTCACAGTGGGACTATGCTGTTATGGTTCGGCCTGGTGACAAAAAGTGGTGTAGTGCAATCACACCGAGCCGATGACCCACTGGGATACTGTTAAGCTCCAACAACTCTTTTTTTCGTGAGGACTCGGCTTGGACATGTGCCCTCTGTGGCTGCGTCGGCATTCACATCCGACTCTCCGGTATACGTCTCCTGTCTATCATACATGACCACATTTCGTCACAGGTGACATCGGTGCCAGAAACGGGTCGCTTCTGTTGCCGACGAGCAGACAGAAAAGCAGTGAAGAAGAAACCTCGAGACGTGCCAATTTCTGCAGGTCACTCAAGTTGTGAGTGTCCAGTTGTCGAGTTTTTTTTCACCTTCCCAATGCGTTCCAGACCATTTCAGCAGGCACTAGTGGGATTGGCCAACGCTCTTACTTTTACTTCTGGGCAACCATTCTGCGAACTGTTTTTTTGATGCGCCGACTTCCACAAACGCCTTCTAAATCCTCGTCAGATTATTGCTTGTAGGTCGAACGCTACCTATTCACCTCCTCCCAGAACGAAAATTTCGTCGAACCAATTGTCGCGACGTGCTTCTCCAACACTATTGGTGTCCCCCACACCCTGTTAATTTTTTCGACTGTCTCGCCCTAGCTGATTGACTCCGCAATTGTAGTTGAAGTAAAGAGGAAAATAGCAAAAGGCAGGAAAGGAAGAAAGTATCTGTACGACAGTTGCTCCTTTCTGACATGCTCGCAAAAAGTCTGGGGAAAAGAGGTTTGAGCAGTGGTGAAAGCGCAATGCATAACCATCAGATAGCGCAAAAATTCTCTTCGGGATGTACCACTGAGACGCAAGGGAGAATGAGCTTTTAATCAGCAATGAATGTACAGAAAATAGTAGCGCAAAACGCTGAGAACTTTCCGACAACCTAATATCTCACGACCAGAAGAAGGTATCTCAAACGTCTGATTCGTTCCACCAAATTCGAGGAATTCCCGGCCGATGCACCATAAATGGCTTTTGGTGGTTCAGTGTGTTGGGGAACGGCTCTCCAGTACCTCAAACTTGGGTAATTAAACATTTATTCTAACCATCAAATCAACAATGAATTAAATGTAAAAAAAACTGAAAATCCAGCTCGCCGAGCTCCTTTTATTCAGACTAAATGGGCGGAGCCGGCTTCGAAGTGACAGATCAAAACATGATAAGCGGATATCATATAATGTGACTCAATATTTTGAAATTCCAATCCCGATCAGCCTATTGATAGCAAGAAAGACTAAAAGGACACAAATCGATGCTACAAAATAGAGGAATCTCTATAAGCTGAGTGCCATCCGGTGCCCCAGCAAGCCGAACTACGCCCTTACACTGACAAGTTTGATAGAGGGCGAAGGCTGAAATGTACCCTGAGATGTTCTTCTTTGAGCAAGTGTATGCCGTCTAGTTGTGAGGACTAATTCGCGGTGGTTGCCGCCCTGGTATCGCAAACTGTTTCAGACGCCTAGGATTACCTTCGTCAGCGAATTGTGTTTGTTGCCTTTCCAGCGAATATCCTTTCAAGCCGGTCGCAAGCACAGGCCGTTTTTGCTTGCTCCTCAGACCAGTGGGAACGGTAGGACCGCGAAGAATGTCCCCCTTCTCCGATTTGGACTTGTTCGATAATGGCGCCACGCCGCTGCACAATAATCAGTCTCCGCCCTCCGCCCCAAATCATGCTCCTCCTTTATCAAATAATTTGCTCTCACTCTAGGCGTTCGGTCTCATGTTCACAATTTTCACGCCACATTTTTCGCCACGCTACCGTCCACCTCTCTTGCCCATGGTGAATGCCTCATCACTGTATGCTTATATAGGCATGGGTTATATATGACGCACTTTTGACGGCTTGTCCTGCTTTTATATCCAAAAATGAGTTAAATAGTTATCAACTGCATCCTGCATTCGTACTTCGCTTTGCCTTTTGAGCGCCTTTGTGGGGTAATGTAGCCCGTTCTGTCGAGAGCATTTGCAAGGCATGTTCAGAAGGTAAAAGCGATTCGAATTTCATCAAAAAAGACTCACCGTTATGTGAGTACTGTGATACGCGAGGAATATTAAACTACAGACGATGTATACTTTCATGAGAAGTACACACTTCTTCATCTCAACTGTGAAGAGCACGAGGCAAAGAAGATACATAATGGTAAGGTATCTGAAGATACGTATAGTGGTCGAAAGAAACTCAAAATTTAGGTTTTGAGTGTTGTGCTTCGTCTGCGCTCGGGCGTGCACCTCCCTGTCGCGGCTTCGCGCGCGTTAGCACAGTAATCAGCTAGTTGACCAGACATTCAGAGAGAGAGAGCTAGTGGGCTCATAGACGCAGAGAGAACCGAGAAAGTCATGTGTCGCAGCAGTGTTACGTTATGTAGATTGGGTCCTGAAGTGAATGCTTCGTGCTTATCCCACTTGTAACGAGTACACTGCTGGACAAGACTATACTTCACCTATAACTCTCTAAAAATATGTTTCATTCTTTCATCACTATTGAACCCTGCCCCTGTCTGCCTAAATCAGGCCGGTTTTTTACCAGACTTTTTTTCTACAAGGGCAGATTTAGCTGAAATTTGCTCATAGAGGTACTTCGACCTACTGAACACGAATATCACACTTCGCCCAAAACTGCCCAGCGCCCGCGCCACGGGCGCCGGCGCCAAAACCCTAAATCACCAAAATCGATGAAAACTTGTATACGGGGGTTATTTGACATCCTGATTACGAATATGACATTTATTCTTGGCGCCGGCGCCAACGTAGACACTATGGTCGCTTTGTTAAGACTGAGCCTGGGCTGCAGGGAACCACTCGTTCTCCCAGGTTCAGCCTCAGCAGAAAAATGGCGCTGGTATGGAGAAATAAATGCCATACTCGTGATCAGGGCATCAAACAACCCTATTACGCAAGTTTTTATCGATTTTGGGAAGAAAAGGTGTGGCGCCAAATTGGCGCCAAATGGCGCCAGCGTCAAAAATAAATGCCATATTCGTGATCAGGATGTCAATTAACCCCCGTATACAAGTTTGCATCAAATTTGGCGAAAAAAGTGTTGGCGCCTATTGGCGCCAAATGGCGCCAGCGCCAGAAATGAATGTTATATTCGTGATCAGGACATCGAATAACATCTATAGACAAAGTTTCAGCGAAAAATTTTTTGAGTTTTTGGGGTAGGAATAGTTCAGTAGTGCCTAAGAGTCGCCGAGCTGCATCAGTTTCGAAAAGTGGGCGGGGCTTCTACAAAGTGGGCGGAGCTTCCATTAGTGGGCGGGGCCGCTTGTCACAGCCTAAAAAAGTGAAAATTCGGAAGAAAAATCAAAATTCCGCGAAAAACGAAAGTGGGCGTGGTCAGAGGGGCGGGGCCTAGTGTGCTAGTGTGTAAATGCATGGCTATATTCGTTTTGTGAAGATTGAATGTGAAAAAACCGACGTCGAAAGAAGTTATAAAAATTCAGAACTTACATCACTTGATTGTGAAGTGGGCGGAGTCAGATCTGTATCGGTACCAATCCTTTTCAGTTGAAGTGTGTGTGCAACTAGCAAAAGTGATGTAATTTTGAAGAATTGAAATAAGTCGAAAAAGCAAGATTTCATAAAACAATTTTGGAAACCCGCGACAGCGCGCTGATAAGGCTTGGCGGATGGTTGGGGCGGGGCTTGCAGCAGACCTTAATGTGGGTCTATTGTCCAAATGCGCCTTGGGGAGAGGGGAGGTGTACGATTTGGATGTGAGAAGTGGTACGCGATTTTGATTTGAAAAGTGTCCGATTTGGTTTGAAAAGTGTCCGATTTGATTTGAAAAGTGTCCGATTTGTTTGAAAAGTGTCCGATTTAAAGTGAAAATGGGTAACAGAACAGCGAGAAAGTGCTACAGAGAAGCTGAATTTGCGGTAATTCTAATAATCATTGGGCCCCTATTTCTTTAAAGCGTGACTTTGGAAAGCCCGCGATGTAGGTGTCCAAAGGTACGAGCTCACTGATAAGTGTTTATGATAAATTCGGTGCCGGACGGCGCTTCCGAAATTGCTTTCCCCAACCGTCACCAACAAGTCCTGGAGTCGAGCGCTAAATTGGCCGCTAAATGCTCGGCAATGGAATCCCGCACACTTTCCCGATTGGAAACGAAGGTCAAGGGCGAGGGAGCTACTGACGTCAGCCATAAGAAGGCAACTTCGTGGCGCTAGCAAAGGTA